TTCGTTCCCCCTCTCCAACCGACGTAGGATCTCACAATTATAAATTTGTAAATACAAAAGTAAAATAACTAATAGAAAACTCGTTCATAATTAGGGATGTTCTGTGTTCCTCTTGAGACTTCATGAGGACCTGTTCGTAATGAGGCAGACAATCCTTATTTAGGTTGAAAATAGGAGAGGGAGTGGAGAGAAATTTTTCTCCATTGACCGAACAAGAACAGGGACGGGAATGCTTTCCTCGTTCCCGTTCCTCGTTCCCGTCTCGAATATTAATATAAATAAAGTCAAAAGGGTATATATGTCATACCTGCCCGGGGCAGTTTAGGTTGTGCGGGCAGTAGTGTTGGTCAATGAGAATAGGGTTTTGGACATTATGCATGGTGGCACCAAGGAATTGGACTCCGAACACAAATCCAGAGCTGGGCCTGGCCCATGATTTTATTCTCAGCCCATTTTGCGTTCCTGAGAAAATTGCATTCGAAACGGTGACGTTTCGCACCCCAGGCTCGTTCTTGTTGTGTGCCAAGCTTCCTATACTGCAGCCATTGATTTTTTTTTTAATTAAAAGTATTATCAATAATTTAAATATTAATAATTAATAATAAAATTATATATTAAATAATTAATACGATATAAACCGATGTACCTAATGCCATGACCAGGTCCACATCGGATACGTTGAATCCACAGATTACGGGACCCAGGGCCGATGGAAATACAATCGTCTCCCGTTTGGATGATAGAGTCGACGATGGTCACGTGCGTGGATGTTTCTACGTGGATGCCATCTGTGTTAGGGCTATAACTCGGGGCCACGATATTCACTCCTTCCACCAACACGTTTTTGCATCCATCGATCAATATATGGAATAGTTGGCTGTTTTTTGACATCATCCCTCTAATCCTTATATTGTTCGAGTTCCTAAAATTCAGTGTCTTTGTTTTCCAAACAAGAAAATAAAATCTGTTTAATATAAAACTATGACCATATTTAAAATAATTTATCCTGTACGGTACGGTATGATTTTAGCTAAAATCGTGATCGAGAAAGAGTAAAAAGAAAAAGATTAAAAAAAGTTGGCTTTGCCAACACAACATTAGGGTCGTTCCCTTCATTCTATGCTGACTCAGACCCTGGACTGGTTTTTTGGGAAGCCCGTTCCCACCGCCCGGCTGGCCTGCTAACGGTAGTGGGAATTCTCCCGGTTGACTAAAATTATTAAATAATAATAATTTTCACGAGATTAAAAATCTAGTTAATAAACTAAATATTTTTTCTTTATATAAAAAAATTAATATTAAATTTAAAATATATTTAAATATATACTAAAATTAAAAATTTAATAATTATCCCAAAATAAAAATAAATATGTTTAAAAGTTTTTAAATAATAGAACTAGAAGTAGAGTAGGCACCATGGCTCCGACGGGGCAGTGGGCGGCGGAGGATTTGCAGTCCCACAAGGCGGCGCCATTGGCATCAAGAACTCCACCACTCAAAGTAACGCCATCAACGCCATCAAAGCTCAGCCAGCTTCTGACGTCGCCAAGGATACGATAATCGGACGGTGCAACCAGAGCCCCGTCGATATGGAAACTAATATCCTTGTTGCCACACCCGCCATGGAACTCGATCGGCCAAACCAAAAACCTCCCGTTTGGAACGTAAACAATGGTGGATTCCGATGACATGCAAGCCTTTGCCCATGCACGGCGAAAGGCCGGGCTCGAATCCCGTCCCCCGCCGTGTATGGCACCGAAATCCAAAACGTTCAATAAAGTCGCAGAGTACGACTTTGTGATCATATGGAAAAGGAGGAAGACGAGGACGAGTATGACGATAAATGGTTGAAATGGCGAGGGAAGTGATGAATGGTTGGAAAATTTGGCCATTGGAAGATGGAATTGGATCATTTGGCCAAGAGGATTACTACTTATAGAGATGTCGGTATTGTTAGAATATGTCTCAAACCTAATTTCGTTCATGAATTTTGTATCGTTCTTGTTTGGTCTCTAAACGCTCATATATTTGTCGTAGACTCTCGAACTCACGAATGTTTTATTTTATTGTATCTATGTACTTGACCTAATGCTGATAATCATTTTACAAGAATTTAAATATATTTGAAAAGTCGATACTTGACCTGTATGCTCGATAATTTTTCTTTGATTTCCATTTTTTTTAAAAGACCGCTTTGGTCTCGGGCTTCGACCCAAGTTCACCGCTAACAAATATTGCCAATTTTAATCCGTTACGTATTACCATCGGCTCACGATTTTAAAATGCGTCTATGAGGGAGAGATTTCCACACCCTTATAAGGAATGTTTTATTCCCTATAAATTTTATAAACATATTCACACCGTGTTTTTTCTCGAACATAAACTATCATTATTATTTATTACGATAACTAAAAAAATATATATTTTCAAAGTAGACCCGACAAAGATTAAAACAGACGAGTTTCAAAGTACAGACACCAAAATGATATTTTAACCTAAATTTACAATTTAACTATGAAAAAAATTATATATTCTCGACATTTACATAGGACGATCATCATTTTCTCTTATACAAAAATAACTAAATAGAACCTTCAATGCTCGTGAAAATAATAAGTACTTATCTACTTAGCTGTGTCGAGATCAGTTGATCGTGATCGTGATCGTGATTTTCAACGGGTCAGTTCCAATATTGATAATTTAGTATCGGGAGAGTTAGGTGACGGTAGGTAATGAAAGACCGACAAAAATTTTGTACTCAACACTTTGAATTTTATTGGTCTTTTCAATTGCTTACTTTAGTTTTTCCATTTCTAAATATTATCAAAATAATACCAACAATTTCTCTATTATTGGTATTATTTTAGGTTAAAATTTTATTTTTTATAATATTACCTTAGAGAGTTATTATTAGAGTGATTATTGCTATGCCAAATATTTTATTTTATTTTCTATATTTTGATGTTTATTTTAGCTCTAAAACATTATAATAAAAATTATTTTTAGTTTTGTTATGAATTTTTTTTATTGATTATTTAAATAACCCAAATTTTTTTTATTGATTTTTTAAATTCCGATGAATTAACAATACAATTATATATACATATATTTATTTAATTTTATAATTATTTATTATTATTGTTATTTATCCTTCCACACCTCTTTAAAATAAAATTTAACTACTTGGTTATAAATTTTAATTAAATGTCTAAAAAATGAATAAATTGAATTAACATTTTATTTTTATTAAAAATAAAAATTTTAATAAATGACCCGAACAATTCGAACCCAAACCACATCTCTACATTCTTCAACCAAATTTTGTCTTAACGAATGAAATATTTTCGTCGATATCTTTCAAGTGAAAAGAATTTATTCATATCAGAAATGAATGGATATTTTATAAAATAATAAAAAAACATATTTATTAATTTTAAAAGTAATTATTATTATTATTTTTTATTTATGGGTAAAAATAATATTGGTAGGTTAAATGAGTGTTAGGTAATTCCGGTGTTTGCGCCATATGTCCGTTGTCATGAAGTAATTTGGTTCACCAATTTCAACGCTATAATCCACTTTGAGTAGTTTGGTAGGTTGAATTTGGAATTTCAATTTTTTTTATTATTTATTTATTTTTGTGATATTTTGGTTTTTTTTTAATCGAGGAAAGTCAAAAGACTACTGACTTTTGACCTCTTGATTCTCGGTTTTCTTTTTCTTTGTTTGGTTCATCTAATTCCCGAGCTTGTCTCAGCTGCATTTTCCATCTTTTGCGAGTCCCACTTGATTTTTCGGTATAGCTATAAGCTATACAAGAAAGAAATATAGAGCTTATATTAAGAAAGAAATATAGAGCTTATATTGAAAAATAAATATATGTACTATTAAATTGAAACGTGCGTAATTTGTTCTGATAAAAGAGATCTAAGGGTACCGCATTTTTGTTGATAATGTCGTTGTAGGGCTTCTATCAATCCGCCTCGTTCTGGATATACCAATTTAGTTGAAACCCTGTAAATTTGAACGACTTGAGCACAAAGCTTAAAAAAACGATAAACCCGTCGATGATATTGAATAATGTTGCCCATCAAAAGGTTAGTTTATTTATCACGTTTTTAGAAGTATAGACCAAATAAGCTATTGTGTAAAATACACTTTTAGTTATTGAAACGGTTATTACATGAATGAATGTTAGTAAAACATCTCAAATATGAGAAAAGTGTTGGCATCGACCTCAATGGAATCATCGAGATGACCGTGGTGACTAGATTTGGTAGAACGATGATGGAGTGTTTGGGGGAAGAGTGAGAGAATTAAGACAAGGGGGTGAGTCGAGAGGGAGAGAGAGAAGGTCGAGAGAGTGATGGAGAGGAGAACGAAACATTCTTTATAAAAATGTGGAAACCTCTCCTTAACAAACGCATTTTAACACGGTGAGATTGACAACAATGACAATATCAACTAGCGGTGGGCATTGGCTGTTACTCGATCAACCGAGTCAAGCTTCACCTATCAAAGAGTCCCAATCTATGGAGCTACAAATACCCACAAGGTAGGAACGACGACATATATGAGCTTATCTAGAAAGGTAAGACGTTTATCGCTCCAACCTCTAAAAAAAGTGCATTTTACGCTTAAGAAATAAAGCTTCATTTACCGTCCAACTTCAAACCAAGTCCATCCAGCCGATCGATCAAATATACCGAGAGATCGATAAAATGATCAAACAAGTTACGAACAAGTAACTCGAGCTACTTCAAAGCTGAACTACTACAACATTCCTTACAGTCATCCCGTCCTACTCCTATTCTAACAGAGATCAAAGTATCGATATTGTAGCAGCCCAAGCTCACCACTAGCAGATATTGTCCTCTTCGGGCTTTCCCTTTTGGGCTTTCCCTCAATATTTTTAAAACGGGTTTACTAGGGAGAGGTTTTCAAACCCTTATAAAGAATGTTTTGTTTTCCTCCTCAACCGATGTGAGATCTCACAGATATCGATAAAATATTTGATAGCAACAAAAAGTTCTGTACAAACTATTTTAGTGAACGAGTCGCTTAAACATTCATGGTGGAAAACAGGAAGACTAGAATGGAAGGGGATAACCACGAAGATACGTCGAGTCGACGCCCGACTCTCTTCCTAACGCCACCCTTCCGGTCCTTGCCACCTACCGATAAAGAAAGAAGGATTCAGCATTTAGAATTGTACATATATGCACAAACACACACAAGGCAGTGACAAAAATGTATACAAATTAATGTTTAGCTGATATAAGCACCCTTAGAACGCTAAATAAACAGTCTCGATCGCCTCATCAAACAACGGAAAGCCTAGCTTCGACTAATTGTGCTAGATATCAGATCTCGAAGCCTACAGAGAACGAAATAGTTTGTCGATATCAATTTTTACGACCACGTCCATCTTTCCCTAGATTCAACGTCGATGGTCGACGCGTTTAGCAACAACGATAACTAGCATTTATCATCATGATACGTATACGTGCTGCTACAGAATCGATACTCATGTAAATATATACACAATAAACTTTCATTATATTTGGAACTTCTATGCTTAAGTTATAGAAGTACATAATAATGAAAAAAATTCCATACAAGAACTGATTCTCATACTATTCATCAGAAAAAGAATTCGTTTTCCAACTGCTTGTCTATAAGATATAGAAACCAAGAATACAAACCTCACATATCCCGAATGGCTCTAGCAACCTCTGCAACGCGACCATCTTGTTTAAATCGCCCGTGAGCTAGAGTAAATACGGAAAATTGTAGCATAAGAATAGCCCGATCAAAGCACTCGATGCATGTAACAGCCCAAACCCACCGCTAGCAAATATTGTCCGTTTTGGCCCGGTACGTATCCTTGTCAGCCTCACGGTTTTAAAACGTGTTCAGTAAGGAGAGATTTCCACATCTTTATAAGGAATGTTTCGTTCCTCCCTCCAAATATTGTCTGCTTTGACTTGTTATGGCTATGATACCATTTGTAACCGCCCAAACCCATTGTTAGCAAACACGTCTACTAGGGAGAGGTTTCCACACCTTTATAAGGAATGTTTCGTTCCCCTCTCCAACCGATATGGGATCTCACAATCCACCCCCCTTGGGGCCCAGTATCCTCGCTGGCACACCGACCGATGTTTGGCTTTGATACTATTTGTAACAGCCCAAACCCACAGCTAGCAAATATTGCCTCTTGACCTGTTATGTATTGCCGTCAGCCTCAAGGTTTTAAAACACGTCTACTAGGGAGAGGTTTCCACACCCTTATAAGAAATGTTTCGTTCCCCTCTCCAACCGATGTGGGATCTCACAATCCACCCCCCTTGGGGCCCAGTATCCTCGCTGGCACATCGGCCGATGTTTGGCTCTGATACTATTTCTAACAGCCCAAACCCACCGCTAGCAAATATTGTCCGCTTTGGTCCAGTATGTATCCCCATCAGCCTCACAGTTTTAAAACGCGTTTATTAAGGAGAGGTTTCCACACCTTTATAAGAAATGTTTCGTTCCTCTCTCCAAATATTGTCCGCTTCGACCTGTTATGGCTCTGATACCATTTGTAACCGCCCAAACCCATCGTTAGCAAACACGTCTACTAGGGAGAGGTTTCCACACCTTTATAAGGAATGTTTCGTTCCCCTCTCCAACCGATATGGGATCTCACAATCCACCCCCCTTGGGGCCCAGTATCCTCGCTGGCACACCGACCGATGTTTGGCTTTGATACTATTTGTAACAGCCCAAACCCACAGCTAGCAAATATTGCCTCTTGACCTGTTATGTATTGCCGTCAGCCTCAAGGTTTTAAAACACGTCTACTAGGGAGAGGTTTCCACACCCTTATAAGAAATGTTTCGTTCCCCTCTCCAACCGATGTGGGATCTCACAATCCACCCCCCTTGGGGCCCAGTATCCTCGCTGGCACATCGGCCGATGTTTGGCTCTGATACTATTTCTAACAGCCCAAACCCACCGCTAGCAAATATTGTCCGCTTTGGTCCAGTATGTATCCCCATCAGCCTCACAGTTTTAAAACACGTTTATTAAGGAGAGGTTTCCACACCTTTATAAGAAATGTTTCGTTCCTCTCTCCAAATATTGTCCGCTTTGACCTGTTATGGCTCTGATACCATTTGTAACCGCCCAAACCCATCGTTAGCAAACACGTCTACTAGGGAGAGATTTCCACACCCTTATAAGGAATGTTTCGTTCCCCTCTCCAACCGATATGAGATCTCACAATCCACCCCCTTGGGGCCCAGTGACCTTGCTAATCCACCCCCTTGGGGCCCAGTGACCTTGTTGGCACACCGGCCGATATTTGGCTCTAATACTATTTGTATCAGCCCAAACCCACCGTCAGCAAATATTATCCGCTTTAACTTGTTATGTATCGTCGTCAGCCTCAAGGTTTTAAAACACGTCTACTAGGGAGAGGTTTCCACACCCTTATAAGGAATGTTTCGTTCCCCTCTCCAACCGATGTGAGATCTCACAATCCACCCCCCTCGGGGCCCAGTATCCTCGCTGGCACATCGGCCGATGTTTGGCTCTGATACTATTTCTAACAGCCCAAACCCACCGCTAGCAAATATTGTCCGCTTTGGTCCAGTATGTATCCCCATCAGCCTCACAGTTTTAAAACGCGTTTATTAAGGAGAGGTTTCCACACCTTTATAAGAAATGTTTCGTTCCTCTCTCCAAATATTGTCCGCTTCGACCTGTTATGGCTCTGATACCATTTGTAACCGCCCAAACCCATCGTTAGCAAACACGTCTACTAGGGAGAGATTTCCACACCCTTATAAGGAATGTTTCGTTCCCCTCTCCAACCGATATGAGATCTCACAATCCACCCCCTTGGGGCCCAGTGACCTTGCTAATCCACCCCCTTGGGGCCCAGTGACCTTGTTGGCACACCGGCCGATATTTGGCTCTAATACTATTTGTATCAGCCCAAACCCACCGTCAGCAAATATTATCCGCTTTAACTTGTTATGTATCGTCGTCAGCCTCAAGGTTTTAAAACACGTCTACTAGGGAGAGGTTTCCACACCCTTATAAGGAATGTTTCGTTCCCCTCTCCAACCGATGTGGGATCTCACAATCCACCCCCCTCGGGGCCCAGTATCCTCGCTGGCACATCGGCCGATGTTTGGCTCTGATACTATTTCTAACAGCCCAAACCCACCGCTAGCAAATATTGTCCGCTTTGGTCCAGTATGTATCCCCATCAGCCTCACAGTTTTAAAACGCGTTTATTAAGGAGAGGTTTCCACACCTTTATAAGAAATGTTTCGTTCCTCTCTCCAAATATTGTCCGCTTCGACCTGTTATGGCTCTGATACCATTTGTAACCGCCCAAACCCATCGTTAGCAAACACGTCTACTAGGGAGAGATTTCCACACCCTTATAAGGAATGTTTCGTTCCCCTCTCCAACCGATATGAGATCTCACAATCCACCCCCTTGGGGCCCAGTGACCTTGCTAATCCACCCCTTGGGGCCCAGTGACCTTGCTGGCACACCGGCCGATATTTGGCTCTAATACTATTTGTATCAGCCCAAACCCACCGTCAGCAAATATTATCCGCTTTAACTTGTTATGTATCGTCGTCAGCCTCAAGGTTTTAAAACACGTCTACTAGGGAGAGGTTTCCACACCCTTATAAGGAATGTTTCGTTCCCCTCTCCAACCGATGTGGGATCTCACAATCCACCCCCCTCGGGGCCCAGTATCCTCGCTGGCACATCGGCCGATGTTTGGCTCTGATACTATTTCTAACAGCCCAAACCCACCGCTAGCAAATATTGTCCGCTTTGGTCCAGTATGTATCCCCATCAGCCTCACAGTTTTAAAACACGTTTATTAAGGAGAGGTTTCCACACCTTTATAAGAAATGTTTCGTTCCTCTCTCCAAATATTGTCCGCTTTGACCTGTTATGGCTCTGATACCATTTGTAACCGCCCAAACCCATCGTTAGCAAACACGTCTACTAGGGAGAGATTTCCACACCCTTATAAGGAATGTTTCGTTCCCCTCTCCAACCGATATGAGATCTCACAATCCACCCCCTTGGGGCCCAGTGACCTTGCTAATCCACCCCCTTGGGGCCCAGTGACCTTGTTGGCACACCGGCCGATATTTGGCTCTAATACTATTTGTATCAGCCCAAACCCACCGTCAGCAAATATTATCCGCTTTAACTTGTTATGTATCGTCGTCAGCCTCAAGGTTTTAAAACACGTCTACTAGGGAGAGGTTTCCACACCCTTATAAGGAATGTTTCGTTCCCCTCTCCAACCGATGTGAGATCTCACAATGCATCGGAAAAGAATACTCTAGTATATCCATTTTTCCCTTTACAGATTTGTTTCATTGTTTCAGAAGAATTTGTAGCAAATGTTCCTATCAGTAGCACAAACATCATTAATTGAGCAAAACATATCTATATATCTATATTATATGTATATGTATTCATGCACAACTCTCTATATGATATCAAGGACAAGAGCGGACCTGAAGAGTAATTGTATGTCCAGACATATCAACAGCTTTTGCACGGAAGATCTGAGCAATATCAAGGACATCTCTTCTAGCAGTAGCATTTACAGCAACTTTTATCAACATTAATTCTCTCTCAGCAAATGGCAAGTGAGTTAGATCGCGCACCTGAAGAAGCCGTTGCCCCCTATTTAATCAACCACGAACTTGTACGAGTCGCAAGGTCGTAATACTATAAGCTAAGCACTCTAAGATTTTCTCAACATAAAAGAGATGTGTTTTCAACTTGTAATTTGGGTCAGCTCCCTTGTTTGTGGCTAGAAAAAATGTAGCTCATTTAGTTCTTGGGCAAACTTCATAGCCATATAACGATCGGCTAACTTTTTATGCCCAGGAGCTCTCTACTCAGGACCAAGCCCACCGCTAGCAGATATTATCCTCTTTGGACTTTCCCTTTCAGGCTTCCCCTCAAGGTTTTTAAAACGCGTCTGCACGTGAGAGATTTCCACATCCTTATAAAGAATATTTCAACTTGTAATTTGATTCAGCTTCCTTGTTTGTCTGGCTAGAAAAATGTAGCTTCATTTAGTTCTTGGGCAAACTTCATAGCCATATAACGATCGGCTAACAGTTAGGCTTGTCTTATTATACTTTTTATGCCCAGGAGCTCTCTACTCAAGACCAAGCCCACCGCTAGCAGATATTATCCTCTTTGGACTTTCCCTTTCAGGCTTCCCCTCAAGGTTTTTAAAACGCGTCTGCTAGGGAGAGGTTTCCACACCTTTATAAAGAATGTTTCGTTCCCCTCTCCAACCGAGGTGGGATCTCACATTTCACATCCGAGCTTTCACTAACTAACAATAAAATGACCCAAATCTCTTTTTACCTCTCTCACAATTAGTCTTCACTCTTCGTAACTTGGGCCTCACACATTATCAGGGAAGAACTTGCCTTGGTTTGAAAAGATTGTAAGAGTATTAACCTTTTGCCTTCGATAGCTACATTATCCCCTGTTCTTTTCTGTAATTTTAAAGCGATTAGAGCAAAACAAAAAAAACTGCTTCCTACCGAATTGAAACAAAATTTCTGCAACAGCCCAAGTCCACCCCTAGCAGATATTGTCCTCTTTGGGGTTTCTTTTTCGGGCTCACCCTCAAGATTTTTTGGTTTCTTTTTCGGACTCCCCTCAAGATTTTTAAAACACGTCTCCTTGGGAGAGGTTTCCACACCCTTATAAAGAATGTTTCGTTCCCCTCTCCAACCGATGTGGGATCTCACAATTTCTAGATATGTAACGACCTAGATCCACCGCTAGCAGATATTGTCCTCTTTGGGCTTTCACTTTCGGGCTCCCCCTCAAGCCTTTAAAACGCGTATGCTAGGGAAACATTTTCACGCCCTTGTAAAGGGTGTTTCGTTTCCTCCCCAACCAATGTGGAATATCATAATCCACCCCCCTTCAGGGCCAGCGTCCTCACTAGCACTCATTCCTTTATACAATTGATGTGGGACCACCACCAAATCCACCCCCCTTTGGAGTCCAGCATCCTTAATGGCACACCGCCTCGTGTCTACCCCCCTTCGGGGAATAGCGAGAAGATTAGCACATCGTCCGGTGTCTGGCTCTAATACCATTTGTAACGACCCAGACCCACCACTAGCAGATATTGTCCTCTTTGCGCTTTCTCTTTCGGGCTTCCCCTCAAGGCTTTAAAGCACGTCTACTAGAGAAAGGTTTCCACACCTTTATAAAGAGTGCTTTGTTCTCCTCCCCAACCAACATGGGACATCACAAGATATCCTCGTGAATCCTCCTCCAAAGTGAAAGATATTTTGATTAGTTTGGCATTAGATGATTGACAGTTGACACGATACCAAATTATATTCAACGTTCGAATATGAAGTTAAAACCATTCAAAGGAGCATAAAGTATGAAAACTAGCAGTTTGCCTACAATAGTTAAAACAAGAAACTCAGTCACACTATCATTAAACTTAATAAATAAAAGAAAATTACTGAACATGCTACCTCATGAAGATCTATTAATTTCTGAAGCTGCTGAACCAACTTTTCAATGGACTCGTCCGTTCCAGGAATGACCGTCGTGATACGAGATAATCCCCGTCTTTCTGCAGGTCCTACAGCAAGACTCTGGCAATTTTCCAAATAGAAAATTATGATGAAGAAACTGATGAAAATAAGAAAAAGTTAAACGATGTCAGTAGTAAAATTAGAACCCACCTGAATGTTATAACCTCTTCTAGAAATAATGCCAGTAACAACGTTAAGAACTCCAGGATAGTCGTTTACTAGCATAGACAATGTATGTGATAGAAGACCACTTGACTGAAAGTTAGCAGAACACAAAAGGTCAAAGAACATTGTAGAAGAGATAATATAAAAACCATACATGGTAGCTACTACTATACTAAAGGATATAAAACAATTCCACACAATTTTTTTTTTTTTAAGAACTATAATGGAAATATTTGAAAATTATATCGGTACGTACATCGTCATCATAGAGAGCACCCCAGTGAGCGTCAAGAATTTGATTTGAATGAAAATTTTCGTATGGCTCCAATGGATATACATCTCCCTGCAATATTCACATTTCGATTTCTTCAGTGAAAAGCAAGAACAATTCCCGACATGAACGAATATAAATCGGGGAAACAAGCACCCTAAACTATTAGCCGATGTGGGACTTTCATCCAACATCCCTAAATTAGCCGATGTGGGACTTTCATCCAACACCTCCCCTCGAACAAAGTACGCCTCCTTTTTCTTTTGGAGTCTTAGTCATTCTTTACTATGCCTTCGAGGCACACAATACTTTTGTTCGACATTTGAGGATTCTATTGACATGACTAAGTTTAGGGCATGGCTCTGATACCATGTTAGTTGAACACGACTCTCCATAATGGTATGATACTGTCCACTTTGAGCATAAGCTCTCGTGACTTTGCTTTGGGCTTCCCCAAAAGGCCTCACACCAATGGAGATAGTATTCCTTGATAATAAACCCATGATCATTCCCTAAATTAGCCGATGTGGGACTTTCATCCAACACCTCCCCTCGAACAAAGTACACCTCCTCTTAATCAAGACTCTACTCCTTTTTTCTTTTGGAGTCTTAGTCATTTTTTACTATGCCTTCGAGGCTCACAATACTTTTGTTAGGATTCTATTAACATGGCTAAATTTAGGGCATAACTCTAATACCACATTGGTTTCTTAGAAAGGTTTTTCTTTTAGAGGGTTTTGGATTCTAACCCATGATTAGAATGCACTATTTACTTACTCTATCATACTAAGTTTTCATCAAAAGAATTAACAACTTAACAATCTGAGACCTTTCGAAAGCAAGGAGGAAGGGTAGCAATGGTTGGTAGTCAACATGGCCACGAATGGGGAGGGAGCATGATAGTGAGCATCCGTGAAGGTGGAGAATGTAACACCCAAAAAAATGAAGGAAAGTCATCCATGTACGACCCAAAGGATCCAAAGAAGGAAATTAAAAGGATTAAGCAATGACAAGGGTCTTAAGCAAGTCATTTCCATACCTTAAAAAGTAATTTTAAGGACTTAAAGAACTTAGAAAAAGGATTGGAAAGGAAATAGTAAGCGAAAAGGACGAAAATGTCATTTTATCCAATTACCAAGGATCTTTTTGAATTTTTAATTCCTTGTCCAGAAGAAATTTCAAGATACTCAAAAAGGAAAAATGACCAAGAAGGATGAAGAATGTTTGAGAAAATTATAATAAAACATTTGGCAAATTACCAAAATACCCCTGAAGTTAAGGATAATTATGGATTTGCCATTCTACACAAAAATCAGAACCTTCACCATGCCTTCGGCACAAAATCCTTCGAAAATCCTTCGAATCTCGACTCTCAGCCGTTGGATCTCCTCCAAACTTGGATATATTCTAGATCACTCAAGGATCATCTCATCCAATGGCTAGGATTCAAAACCAAAGTTAGTGAAGCTCTGATCGGAGTAGATATTTCCGACGAATTTTCCAAAAAATCCAATCGCCAATTCACGACGATTCTGGAGCCCTCAATGTTGGTTTAAGTTTCCCCTATAAATTCTGAGGTTGGGGCAATAGTTTGGAACAAGAATCGAGCAAGGTCGAGCTCCCAGTCATTGGCAATAAGCATTTAGATTTTGGGTCTCCTACTCTCGGGTTTCTTCTAAATTCAAGAGCAATTCTCCACCATTCCTCTTCAAACTTGTTCCTATAGCTTCTAAACAAGATTACACACAAGTTCTATGAAGGAATAGAGTCCTGAAAGTGCCTAGAAACCATTCCTCCAATCCAATCCGCCTTGAAGAACTTCAAGGAAAACTCAAAATTTCAATCCAAGGATACACGAGAATTTGTCGAGCAAGGACGACCCCAATAGGTTTCTGCACCTCCAAGGAATGTTTCCATAGAAGACCACGAAGAGAAATAACCTAAGGAACGTTCCCAATTGAAAAAAATCCGTTTCGGGCTCAAATTGGGGGTAAATGTCAAATTCCTATCTACGGCCTCTTTTCCTTCAAATTAAGGATTCCTTTAGCTTCAGAGGAAGAATTTAAGTAACTTCGATGAAGGAATCAAAAACTGAAATGTCGTAGAATAAGATACCCAAGAGATCGAAAATCGGAGGTGTCGGGTAACTTGTTGACCGAGAGTGGTTTCTCAAAATTAAGATCCGACACTCAAATTTGTTCCTCCAAACCAATTCCTTTAGCCTGAGGGAAGAATAAGAAAGAGGTTTGGTGAAGAAATCGAGCCTCGAAAACCCCTAGAATCGGCTACCCAATAAGAAATCCTTTGTTTTTACTTCGGCGAGAAATCACATTTTGGACGAACTTCGGAAGCAAATATCTTAGGCTAAGATCCGTGAAAAGGTATGAAATCAATCCCTAGCTCTTCCTTGTAACACCCTCTTAAAGTTTCATGAAGAAATTGAAGGAAGAAATGGCGTGAACGGAGCTGGGGAGGGCGAGTTTCAGACTGCGGCGCGAACAGTTGCGCATGTCTTCTTACCGTCTGAAGGAAGAAGAGGATGACGTGGCCGGTTCAGTTGAATCGGCCATGTCAAACCAAAACTCGACGTTCCCTCAGTTTTTCTCCATTTTAACTCCCTTCCAGTCCGATTCTCATGAACAACTTTATGGTTCCAGAAACTAGACACATCAAGGAGTCTATGGAAGAAAATTTGAGGTAATTCGGGTACCGAAAGCTCAAGAACAGAGGTCCTGAATGTCGACAACGAGGTAAGTAGCCACCTTCGACTTTTTGTTAAGAAATACCGGTACGAATCGCTTGGATTTTCATATGAACCCTAAACCAAGTATGAACTAAGGATACATGAAAGAAAAACCCTAGGAACCGTGAGTTAAGGCCTTGAACCGAACAAATTGCTCGGGATTTAGGTAACGTTAAAATAACCCACTAGATGAACCCTAGCATGTTGAGGTTATATATGAAATTTGGTGGTCAATGGATAAGGATAAGTAGGTAAACCAAGAAATGGTGCAAAATGACCATAATGCCCCTAAGGAAGACTACCTACGGTTCATGACCTAGATGACCTCCAAATGCTATGAAACTCTGTAGTAGATCTTATTTTATGATGTTTGATTATATGGTGAAGTTTGAAAGTCATTGGAATACGTTGAGTAGCAAAACCAAGAATTAGGGGTAAAATGACCAAAATGCCCCTAGGACTACTTATGGAAATTCAAGGTCTATACGTGCTCCAAATGATTTGCTACTTCTTATAAGGTCTATTATGAAGAACATGAAGATATGTTTGAGGTTTCAAGTTGATTGGAGCAAGTTTGGAACCTAAACCAAGTTAGGACCCAAGAAACACCACAAGAATCAAGACTCTTCTAGAACCCTCTGAAGAACTACTTAAGAATCTATGGCTTTCTAGAACAACTCACGCTAAGATGGGTTCATATGGTTACAAATGCAAGTTACAACTTATGCCTCAAGGAATTATGCACCTTAGGAACTTACAAGATTGAGAACAAAAACACCACACAAGCTTTACAACTACCCAAGTTATGGGTACCCAAAAGATTTGTAGGATGCCATGCTTAAGTATGCATCGAGCAAGTGACCTTTATGGTCTATCATGGGGAGTAGTCTAGGGCCACGGAGGAACAAGAAGAGAGTAAGTTACCTTAGCCAAGAATCAAGAACCTCTTAAGACCTCCCATGGTACAGCATGCTCATGACTTAGACTACGCCTGCTTGGAACGCAGAAAGCCTTGAACGAAGGTAAGCAGACTGTATTATAGGGCAAGCCCTTGATGCAGTATTAGACTATATCGCTTGGAATGTAAGAAGCCTTTGATGTAGGTTTTCAGGCTATGCCACTTGGAACGCATGAAGCCTTGGGCATAGGTTAAGTAGACCATATCGAAGGGCAAGCCCTAAGATGCAGTAAGACTACGTCGCTTGGAACGCATGAAGCCTTGGACGTAGGTTAAGGCTGTGTTGCTTGGAACGCATGAAACCTTGGACACAGGATTATCAGGTGCATGTCTAGTGCTGTAAATCCTAGGGAGAGTGTCTTGAAGAACGAATCAAGAACAGAACAAGAACCTAGAAAGTACCAAGAACAAGAGAAAGATCGAGGACTAGAACATGGATCAAGATCCTAGTTCTAAGGACAAGAACCAAGAACCATAGTACTAAGGCCCTTAAAGGAAAACCAAGGTCTTCAGGATACATTAAGATAAGAACCCCAAGTCAAGAACAATAACTAGGGGGCTTAAGTACTTACAACAAGAACAAGAACAAAAACAAGAACAAGACAAGAACAAAGAATGTGGTACCCTAGCATATTAAGGACACGATTAAGAGCCTACAAGTAGGCTACTTACTGAGTCTTGTACTCATTCCTTATTCTCCTTTTTTTTTTTAGTTGATAAGGAACTGGTCGAGGTCGGGAGCAGACTCTGGAACAGGTGCCATAGACAAACCTCACCCGTCGTCTTCAACCCTTTTGTTTTAAAACGTTTTGTGTCTGTTCCTTATTTTGTGTTTTAACCATTACGTCGTATTTCAAATTAGTAATGTGCGTGCACTATTTTGGTATAATGTAAATTATGTAGTAAATTTTAATTGTTTTATTTCCCAAAAAATTTACCTGTCTTTTAGAGCCATCTGGGAAGGAAGAAAAAGAGAGAGAAATGCAATAATAAGAAATAAATTAGTAAAATTTGCGACCTATTTTTTGAAATCTGAGTCAGCAAAGTCTAGTCACTCTGTTGCTTTATAGAGCCTTCTTTTTCCCTTCTTGTAAAATCGAATCTCCCCATTGATTATTATTCTTGTAGTCCTCGTGACTCGTACTTCAATACACGTTCTAAATACGTACTTCTACTTCAGCAACATTGTAAAAAAAAAGAGTTCTATCAAAGCTTTCATGGAAAAGAACAAAAGAACATACGGTGGAGGTAGGGATGTTGCCATTGAGTGATTGACTTGCATCTCCTACAAAGGCATCAACCGGCCTCGAATCTTTGAGATCAGGATAAGAAGCTGCTGAGAACCTCCAAAAGGGAGCTGTTTCCCCCATTTTCTCCCTTCTCAATGCTATCTATACACCGTCAAACAAACTCAATGTACATCAGATATGAAAGTTTTATAAGCCATTTATTAATAAATAGCACATGATAAACTTAAGCAATGATATCCAAGTTCTAATCAACGTACCATAGATACGGTGATATGAACCAAGAGACATCCATCATACAATATACTTCAATGAAGATGTGAAGAAAATATTGTTGAACTTATCGAAAGATATTTCAATTCATGCCACATTGAAGAAAAATGAAGTTTCATGTTATAAATTTTGGGTAGATTACAATTTAGAGTAATTATATTTCATTAATATATTTTAGGACTTTTTGTTTACTTTAGGTTACAATTACTTAATTATGACCATTAAGCAGGGATGTTACCCCTCTTGAAATGCTTTCATTTTAAGGCTATATAAAGCCATGTATGTTGTATTTGTAAATATACTTAAAATAGAGTAAAATGAGCATTTGTGCTTTTTTTTTTTTTTTTTTA